GCGTCTAACGAAATCAAAGCAACAAAAGCAGTTAACAGCCTTCAGAATAATAAAACTAAAGAAACTTGCGCTGTCCATTTACTCAGGTTTCACCAGTATCTCTATTTTATGCCATTTTATTTTTCATGCGTAATATTTCTGGAGAGACTTCCCCTTGTTTGGTCGTATTTTCCTGTTCGTTTATTCAATGTTTAGGCCCCTGGTCACCCTTAAAAAAAAGCCAAACCGACTCCAGGTCTGTGATATATTGGGGAGGGCAACTGTGACAAATTCCTTTTGTCTCCGCTTTGCTGGTACTTTATTACCCAGACGAGCAGCATGGCCTGGAGATAACGATTCATCACGCACAGCCGGCAACCATAGACAACGCCTTTGGGCAAAATCAGCGAGCAGCTTTCATATTGAGGGAGGGAGAGGGTGTGTGTGTGTGTGTGTGTGTGTGTGTGTGTGTGTGTGTGTGTGTGTGTGTGTGTGTGTGTGTGTGTGTGTGTGTGTGTGTGTGTGTGTGTGTGTGTGTGTGTGTGTGTGTGTGTGTGTGTGTGTGTGTATATGTGTGTGTGTGTGTGTGTGTATATATGTGTGTGTGTGTGTGAGGGGGGTATACCTTAATTGGCAATTGGGTTTTATTGCATTAGTAAAACTGCTGATTATCCTGCACAGCATCATGTCACGTTGGCATTTGAAAGCTATAGGTAGACCTCCTATTGGCTTATTTCATACAGCAGCCCATAATAAGTCAGGGATCTTTATTTAAATTATAATAATAATAATTTAAATTCCCTCATGCTTTGCAGCTATAGCTTATTAGATAGACTTGTAATGATCCTGATGGGAAAAGTGGGTCATGGCAGCAGAAGGATGTATAAGAATGGAGCAAAAGCCTAATGAAGAAGCAATTGGCGGATTTAAAAGCCTCTTTATATCCAGAAACAGTGCTTCCCTACACACAAATGAATACATATATGGTCAGTTTTGTGCAGTGAAATATGTTTGAATACATTTAAGCTGAATAAGGTGTATCCGGGTGCTGTTTTTGGCTTTTTCATGGTGAAGAAAAAAGGTGAAAACTTTCAATTATAACAGAAAATAATTTAGTAATTACTTTGTTCTCCTCAGATGTATGTACATATAAGAATACAATGAAAACAGATCATAAAATAAGACATTTCATAGTGTTTAAGATGACATATCTGAAGAGTCCCAAACTGCACATTAGCTATATCTGACATATTTTTTTAAATCATTTGAATTCCCTTATTGCTTCTTTAGCTTGTGCAGACTAATCACAGTGAACGGCCTCGATTGTAGAGAATAATGAAACAAGACACCTAGCTTTGGATGTCAGGCTCAATGAAGAGAAGTGTGATATTGCTCCTGATGATTAAAGGTTTACAGTTTTAGCATTGTGTTCAACATGTTGGCAAAGAGCCTCATTCACACACATGCAGAGAGCTGCCTCACGTGAACAGGCCGTAATGTGTGGTGACGTAATGGAAAGGTTTTAGCTTTAGGAATAGTCTCTCAGTAAAATGTCCTGTTTAGTGACATGGTAGTTACACTTTCTGTTGAAAAATGGAAGATTAGTCCAATAAAGGTTTCCAATATTAAGTATCACTAGATAAGCTTTATAATGTTCATTTCTGTCTTTTTTCTCTTGGTCTACAAACCGAAAAAAGTGCCATATTTTGTTCAATTGTAATAATTAAAGTATGTCCTTAGGTCTCTGATATTACAGTAAGTTCGCACAGGGCAGATATATAACGTTTACTGCTGTAACAGTTTCAAATCATTAGTATTAACCCAATAGCTTTTCAAGTGGTTGTATGGAAAGAGGGCACCCAACAGAAAATGTGCAGATCATTTAATTGTTGTGACAGACTAAATATTGCTCAGAATGTTAAATGTGGTTTCTTGCTTAAGTTGATAAGAAACATCTCACAATGCTTAATAACCTTTCATTGATTAAGGCAGCTATAAAATAAACAATTGCAGGTATTGTAATGAAAAAGATACTCAAGTAACACCTACAATGGTAAAATAAATAGAACATGTAAAATAAATACTTGTGGGATCCACAAGTAAGGAGGGAGAAAATATAACCCCACATTTGGGCATCTACTCACAATAACATATGAGTGCTGCCAATGCACAAAGTTCCCCTAATGGCAAAAAGAGCAGGCTTTATAGCCACCACCCTTAGGTGCTACCAACTACAGGGGTGCTAGAGTCACACCTGTGTTTACAGTATAGTAATGCAAGTCAAACAATAATAACATGACCTCAAAATAATCAACACACATTATTAACCATGTATAACTAATACATGAACAAAAAAAACATGAAAAACCTACAGAAATATTTCCAACTTTAATCCACCCCCCTGTCCATTCATCTTGGTGAAACCTTCCCGGAACCATACACAGGTGTTTGTTTCCCTAGGGACTGTTTTGACAGTGGAATATGGGATTGTACACAGGAGAGCACAGGTACGTGTTTAGTTCTGGAAAACATATCTCTATCCTAAAGTAGCAATAACAACTCCATTTATTTAAGACCCTTATGTTGCATTTTCCTATTCTTAGCCATGGAACGATTGCAGTGAGCGCGAATCAAGCCATGATCATATAATAATTATGACATGTGGTGTGTCATAGCCAATCATCTGACATCCAGAATGCAGAATTGGGTGCACACAAAAAACAAAAGTTGTGTTTTACGCAACACTTGCTTGTCTCATTCTCCTACAAATGCGCCAATAGTTTCTGTTCAAAACCTGCCACGATATCCAACCCTGATATGTAGGCCATAGTGCAAACACTTAGCCGCTACTACGGCTCAAATGCAATGGAGACCGAGATCCAAACAGTTGAATGCACATGGCATCAACCTGCACAAACAGTAGAAGGCAATACAAGTTTAAACAGCCAAACATGATAAGAAAAATGTGGATTATACAAGTAACTCAAATATACAGTGTCACAGAATATAGGCCAATACTGTGCCACAATAACAGCCATTCCTCCACGTGAACTAACCTTTTATTTAGGTCATTCACCACTGAATTGGAGCTAAATGCTGCGTTACTTTTGGTAGCAAACGTGGCTGCCTGCTGATTGAGCCACTTACAAAGATATTGTATTGTTTTGATGGTTAAGTTTGGGAACCCCTGTGTTGGTTTGTCTCGCGGAAGGTGGCGCACAGTGATCCCAGGCAGAGATGTGTTGTCTCAGAGATGCTTTCCAACATTATTCCTCTCCTTCCGGCCCATAGATCTCTCTGGTTTTGCATAAACGGCCAATTACCTTGTCAGTAAGCTGATCTGCGGCTCGGTGCATCCTCTCTTCCCTTTTCATTTTATTGTAACACGCAAATATAAACAGGCCTAATAGCAGCTCCTCTCGTCCCCGCACGTTATTGATATGGCCTCGAATTCACACAATTGATTTTTATGCTTCCCTCTAGCCACCTTGTGCAGTTGAGAGATATCTTTATTCGCAGGGAAAGTGAAATAAGTGCGTAATAAAACGGTGATATATTAAATTCGTTTTTCCCCGTGTCGCGCTTTTATTGTGAGACATTTTTCATTTTTATTGAATTGAGACCCCGGCGATCCGAGTCGTCGCTCCGGGCGGGGAGAGGTTAAATAATTTGTGCAAATCAGCAACACATTTGGCTTCATGATGTCACTGGAGCTGCTATTTATTTGTTTAATTATCTATCTACCTATCCATCTATCCATCTATCCATCTATCCATCTATCCATCTATCCATCTATCCATCTATCTATCTCTCCATCTATCTATCTTCATTTTGCTCATGAGTCTATATGTTTTTTCGATACATATGCTAATGGTTGCTTTACATTTCATTACTTTGTGATAATGTACCTTATAGTGCCTTTAACTCGGGCCTGCAGTGCACACTTCCCGTCAATATCACTGGATTTATGGCTTCATTGTGTGCAACAGATTATTGCTTCAGCAGCTCTCTCTCTCTCTCACACACATAAATCTGCTCCACTATCTTGTAGGACACAGTGTACTTATGTAACCTGCCATTACAAATGAAGGGGAACCATTCAGGCCCATTCTGCAGCATGATGTGAAGCTTGCCATTTTGTTTTATACTCGCTCAGTGAGCATTGATCAGGATATTGGTGCTCTGGAAACTGGTGTGCTGGGAAACTCTTGATAGGTGAATATGTGGCTGGTTTAATTGCACAGACAGTGAGAACACACATAAATACACCCGTGTTCAATGGATGCTTTCTAAACGGATTTCAAGTTCTGTAACAAATCATGTCCAAAATGCAGGAGCCTTCTCAGGTGGAAAGTCACCAAACTAAATCTTATTATAGAAAATGTGTCCAGGGGCGTACATGTAATGGCTATGACCCAATGCATCACAATGAAGATACAAAACTAGCACTGGTATTATTTTTCGTGTTGTTGTTTTCTCTACTGTCTGTGAGCATATACCATTATTATTATTATTATTTTTTTTTTTTAAACATTTAAATGTCCCCAAAAAGCAAAGTTTACAGGAAAACATTTCAGAAAAGGAACCCAAAAATAAATAATACGAATTCCCATTTCCAAACTCACAAAGGACATAAAACAACTAATTAATTATAATAACATAAACAATTCCTTTGATTCTTATATATTTATATAATTTTCTGACATGGGTAGATACATGCATTTCTCGTTGAATATTAAACTGAAAATAATATATTAAATATTAGACATAACTATTTTTTCTTTTGATTGTATTCCGTATTTCTACCATGTATACGCGAACCAGTTTGAAAACAGCTTGACCCGGAGCTTCAGCAGCGCTAAAAGGCACACAACCTCCCGTTGAACACCAGGAAAGCTTCAGAAAATAAAGAAAGCTGCGGCTTCTTTAAGACATCCGAGCAAAACAACTGCCCTACAGAGGAGAAGGAGGAGGGAAGGGAGGGAGGGAAGAAGGGAGGGATGCGAGGGGATGACCGAATGGCAGCTTTTACGCAGAGGGTTGTCTCACCTGCTGAAACGCACTTCACCATTCAGCACAACAGAGCCATCTTTCGCTCTCACCTCCAATTAATATCCACAGCAGCGAGGTCAGCGCTTCCTCTTCGCCTCTTTGGGTTTGTTTTGTTTTGTCTGTGGTTTGATTTTCATGCGACGAGCTTGGGTATCCTACCATGCCCTCTGCGTATGGATCGTGTCTGCCAGAATAGGCGAACAAAGCGCATCAAGCCTCTCCAGAGAACTGCTTCCCCTCCAAAAAAGCACGGATTTGTGTCTGTAAGTACTCAGGATTTTGGCTTTTTGTTTTCCTGCTGATAGGCTGCCTTGTGTGTAGTTCACTGGGAGAAGCACAATGTTAAAGATGGATACGCTTTTTTCTTAGCGCGATGGATAGGCATTTCATTTAGGGAACACCCGATCCCAATGCTGGACAAAAATAATGGCAAGATTTTGGATAGCACCGGACACGTTATTGGTTTCCTGGGAGTAGAACAGACCTGTGTCGATGCTTGAAAACCAAATACTGCAACACACACACATTTCCCGAGGCGTGTATTATCATATGACAAAATTACACTGATATTGAAACACATCCCCGAATAAAAAAAATATGGAGCACACCGGGATCGAGGAGGTGAACCAGACGCACCAGCAGCAGCATGAGCCCATCAGCTTCGGCATCGACCAGATCCTCAACAGCTCGGATCAGTCCAGCGGCTGCATGCTGCCCAACCGGACCGGAGACCCGGATTACGCGCTGGCTCCAAATGTCTACAGCAATGGGTACAACAGCGTGTACAACCCGGCCTGCTCCATGGCGGCGGGGCTGGCCGGCTCCTACAATGTCAACATGAACATGAACGTTAGTATGAACATGAACATGAACGTTAACGTGAACTCGGGCGGCGCCGGAGGGGTGATCCGGGTCCCGGCGCACAGACCCATGCCTCCTCCGCCGCCGCCCGCAGTAGCAGCGCCGCATCCGCCCCCTTCCACACAACCGGGATGCATCGGACCCGGCATCGCCTCTATGGCCGGGATGGGGATGGGGAACGCGGGGAACTTCACCTTCCCGTGGATGGAGAGCAGTAGGAGGTTTGCCAAGGAAAGACTAACAGGTAACAACTCGATCAAAGGTTATTTATATATCCCAATATCACATATTTTACATTTGCCTCAGGGAAAGAAACCCCACAGTTATTCAGGTTTCATTTTGTTGAAGTTCAAACACCGTACACTTACAGCATCTGTTTTGCATTGCTTTTATTTCCATACTTTTGTATCTAACATGTAGAGAAACATGGTTTCCTTTGTGCTCCTGCAACACCTCTAGTCTGATTTGTGTTTCCGAGAATTATACAGTGTGTTCTCAAGAACTTTCAAATTCGTTCCTAATAAATCAACCCAAAGCAGAGTAGCATTATTATATATTACCGGTACAGTTTTGAAATTCTGACATTCAAGTGTAAAACAACCCCTAGTGAAGTGTTTCCTTGTTAGCCAAGGACAGACTAACATGTAAGAATAGTTTCCTTCGTTATCCTGCAACAACTGTAGTCTGATTGGTGTTTCCATGCATCTAATTCATAATAAATCGTCCCAAAGAGAGACATTTACAGTTTCAATTGTTTATTAAATTAATTATGTTGACTGGTACGGTGCACATTAATCAAAAATAACGTCATGTGGCAGCCACAATGCCTATTTTCTGTTTCTCTTTGCCACATTTTAAATTAGCTATACTTTTTCTCGTTGCATATGGCTTTGAAATTGCATAACACAATGTCGTTTTAAAAAGTTTTCATTACATTCGTGAGTGAAGAGCTAGTCTCCTGTGGCAATGAGACTTTTATATTGTTATATATTGTATTCTCTTAATTAATTTAGTTTTGGTGGGAGGGGGGGGTGGTTCCTCTGGTCTTTTTCTAATGACCCCATGAAGATGAAAATGAAGAACATAATGGATTTACGCATGATGTTCCTATTGTGTTTCATTTGCATCCACTTCATAATAAATCAACCCAAAGCAGAGTAGCATTATTGTGTATTTCCCATACGGCCTTACAGGTGTGCATTTCTGCCATTTACGCGTAAAACAGTCCCTTAAAAGATGAAGTGTACAGGATTAAACTTGGCCTAATAGCTCGACAGAGAGGAGCTGATTGTATCTTTAGCTTGTAATCTATAACGCATCTCATGCATACACAGAGTCAGTTTTATTAGCTGGAAGGGCAGTGTGATGAACGAGAGGAGGGATTGACATGGACATGCTGATGAATCAGTATTGGACCATCACTCTCCATTTACAGCGGATGACGGATAACGACGTTGCCCGACTTTTCATGAGGATGAATGATTTTTTTCTTCTCTTCTGTGAGCCAATTGAGAAAACAGGAAGATGAGTCATAATAGTAATAACATATGGCAGGTTAACATGTATACAAAAGTGGAAGATAACAGGTTTTATTTGTATTATTATTATTCTATATTCACGTTTGCCATTCATAATAATAATACTTGTTTGCTTCAATTTCGAGATACAAACTAAATAATTATGTATAGCTCTCAAAAAACTAATAATTCACAAAAAGTACAATCCTTTTTGGTTCTGATACTTGATTTTAATTTGCCCAGCTGCAATTTAAAAATACAGTTCATAAATGTAATGACAAAGCATTAATACAGCTGATTTGAAGACTTTAATATTGGGGATTATTCAATTCAAAACGTTTAATGGAATAACCATTAGACTCGTTTCATTTCCGAAAAAAACTGAAGAATATTTTTTAAATAATCAGAAATTAAGGATGCATTTTCTTTTCACAATACAATGTAATTCTGCGGAGTCTAAATAGTCCGTGTTATATTACATTTAATTTAATGGGTTCTAGCTCATATGGTTGCATTTTCTTTTAGGTTCAAACAATGTCATACACTTACAGCATCTGTTATGCATTGCTTTTTATTTTTGCTAGGCATTTAAAGCTTACATATTTAATTAATGTAATTATTTTGACATGTACAGCACAACATTATCGAAATAAATAATAATGTTGCAGCCAAAATACTCATATCCTGTTTCCTTTAGCCAGATGTAGAAAAAAGCCATATTTTTTGTATTTGCATTAAAATAAATAAAGATGGTAGAAATAGCATAACATAAGATGTAACTTAGAATAATTATTCGTGAGTGAAAGACCATGTCTCCTGTGGCAATGATACTTTATATTGTTATCTGTTTTATCTTTATTAATTTAGTTTAGGGAGGAGGGGGTGGTTCCTCTGGTCTTTTTCTCATGACCTCATCCTTATGAAGATGAAAATGAAGAACATCATGGATTTACGCACACACCCCCTCACCCCATCACCCCTTCACCCACCACCACCACCTCTCCAGGCATTAAATATTCACTATTCTTTCTAGCTGATTAATTATTAAATACTGGGGGACGATATGTCAACTGCAAAAAGATACAGTGTAAATAGGCTTATCAATTCTGCTCATAGTCACCGAGGGCCTCTCGTTTAATTTCTCTCAGCTTTGTGTCGCTGTAATTATTTCACAGCTTATATCTTTCCACTGTATTGATCCTCAGGAACACACACACACAACACACACACACACACACACACACACACACACACACACACACACACACACACACACACACACACACACACACACACACACACACACACACACACACACTGCTCTGCTTCCTATAAAAGGCCGTACATCAAATGGACTGTCATCTATCCTGATGGGCAGAGAACCATTTTAAATGTCTCTCTGTTTCATTTTTTTTCTTTTTTCCTCTCCTCGGTTTTCCAGCTGAAACCGGAGGAGAAAATCGGCCCCTTGCAGATTTAAACAGCTAAACATTTAGCCAAAGGCTTCCAGCTCTGGCAGCCATGGGAGTTTTGTGTGTGTGTGTGTGTGTGTGTGTGTGTGTGTCTGTGTGTTTGTGCGCAGGATGTAAAAGAAACCAGTTAAATTGCAAAACAGACTCGTTTTTCACCCTGGCGCGCGCGTCATTGTGGCCTAAATTCAGGTTATAAATCACGAGAAGTTGTTTCAGAGGATTACGCTTTGGGGCAATATGAATCATTTAATCCATCTCAGAAGAAAAAACAAGACTTGTATTTCCATTACTTGGTTTATTGATCACTATCTCCTCTCTGTAATTAGGCTACTCGTGATCGTATGGCAGTTATATACATTATTTGATCTTGTTTCACCGCAAATGTGACGTTTTTATTAACCCATAATTATCATCATTAATTATCAGTAATAGTATTAGCAGCAATAGGCCTATTAGTAGTATTTTGGTGACAGTATAGTAACTTCTCTATATCTGATCTCTCGTAGTCTCATTCTACTCATTCAAAAATGTGACTTGATTTTTTATTTGTATTTAAGCATTTTATTATAAAAAATAAAGGCTATAATAGTTTTTAATAAATGACAATTGAAGAACATGTTCAAAAAGTTCGTTAATTCACATTATATGTAAAACCAAAGTCATGCATAACGGGCAAAAAAAACATATCATGCAATATTAATAGCAATAACCATAATGATAATAACCATAATAATATATCATCATAATAATAATATGGTAGAAATAAACAATAATATGGAGCATGTTGGCACTTTTATAATAAACAGAGGCATTATAAAGCACGTTTGGCTCTACAGGCCACGTAGCTCCAATAAAAAACATAATTAAACCCTTTTTCTCTCCAATAAATCTCCTTCTGGCTGCTAATGGCCGCACACAGAAACATGTGACTTTATTTCCTCTTCGCGTTTCCGTGCTGCTGACTCTCGGTGTGACAGAAGACAGTGTCCCTGCCTTTTGTCCCGCATATAGTGTAATAAATAGCAATATATGTTCATGTTATATTTCAATATCCCCTTTAGAATCCATCGCGGATATATTTATTAGATTGCTCCAAAGGTAATATCCGCAGTGGGGAAGGGAGGCGCTGTCACAGAGAAGTGTTATTAAGTATAGCTGCTTTTATTATGGGAAACACATCCTCCATGGTAGCATTTTATTCTGTGATATGCTAAATTGTGTTACCCAGGCAGCAGATTCAGTATTCTCACATTTTATTTTTCATTTTTAAGAAGGAGAAGAAAAAGCCAGATCGGTTGTTTGACTTTATTTTCATTTTTATGGGAACAAGGTTTGTTCTACTTTAGACACAAATACATTCGATGCGTTTATGTTCAAAACCGGGAATTTAAATATGTTCCACCACAAACGCTGCTTCATCACTTAAACCGGTTTTTTTCACTGTGTTTTTAGAGCAAACAAAAACACATTAATGTACCTATTTGCATCTTTCACTTCAATCGCGTTTTATCTCGTGGGATCTCGTGGGATCGTCAAATCTTGGCAGCAATGTTATGAGTAAAGCTCCATGAGCTACACATAGCTTGTTATCTGTTTAATTCTGACATTTTGTTTTTGTTTTACTAAGCTCAATTCGTTAAATATTTTACCCTGAGTAAAATATACTGTTTACAATCATATTGCCTTATTCCTTTACTGATAAATGACTGCAGTGAAACAGCAGGTTTAACTCATGATTTAACACAAAATACACAATTGGCTTAATATAAAGACACAATGAATAATTTTGTGTGCCATATACTATATATATGAATACAGGAATATCATGGATTACTAGCAGTACAGTATAATAGTCTCTGATTAATGTTGATTTAAAATCCAGATTATGTTGTGCTTTTAAGACCACAGAAGCTAAATCATTACAGAATTGCTTGCCCTTTACAAACAGCTTACAGTCCAAATTATAAAACCAATGAATAAACCTGAATGCATATCTTTTTCTTTACCCTCTTGAGCCTTAGACTGTCTGCTAAAGTGTCACTGTATCATATATTTCTCAGCGTTTTGCCCTCTGAGACGAAGCTGTTGTGCAGTTGGCAGGTCTGGAGCCTCCTGCTGCATGTTGGGTTTCCTCTGAACGTGCTTGTATGTGCCTGGTCCATTAGTTAGCTCACAGATGGCCTGAAATAGCCGTCTAATGCAGTATTATTTAGCCAGACCTGCCGCTGGGAGCAACAACAGGCCTCGCTCTCAGCATGTGACCCGTAAGGCTACACATAGTTTTAGGCATCAAAAAGGACCAATTAAATACAACCATCGTAGAAACTCTCCATAGGAATAAGACAGATAATCTTATGAGGTTTACAAAACATACCATTAAGTGCAATAAAGTCCCGTTAAAGTCCCTATAAAGGGCCACAGAGGTGCTACAGTTTGCTGTGAGCACCGTATAGAAACATCAGATACATCATGGGGATTTTGTCACCATAAACTCATGATTAAAGCCTGTCCAAGCCCCAAAAGGAATATTAGAGGGATAACATTACCATTTTTACTATTATTGAGCACCAGAGAAACCCATAATGTGAAACCTGATAGGAATATTACCACAGCAGATAAAAAATAATAATGAGAGGAATGAAAACAAGACGTGTACACTATAAATCCAGCTCACAACACAATCAAATGTAGTGAGTTTTTTTTATTTCAGGCACTAAATTTGCATTGCTAATTTACACCCAGGTAATGATAACTTTATGTGACCTACTGTAGCAGCTATTCATTTTTATTTGACAAATCATTTGCTCTCGCATGCTTCAATTTGCCACTCGTGTTCAGCACCATCAGGGGACGTCGGCAGCTCCCTGGAAATGACTGCAGAGTGCGTAATAGCTTCATGTTCCATTTTCCATTCAAATTGTCATCGTCTGTGTGGCAAATGAATTTTCAAGTCGCTGTAACTCTGAGAGCGGCACGTGGCCCCCTCCAGGGACACCTATGCAGATGTTTTCATATTCATTTTGGCTTCTGGTGAGCTTTTCTGACAAAACAAAAACAAATAAACACCCTGTAAGACAGGAGGCAAACAGCTTGCTGGGGAGGAATGACACAGAGAGACAGAACGTTTTTTTTTTCTTCCTGTCGTTTGATTTACATTCTGCCTCAAAATGAGAATGTGGCTGGGGAGTGGATCTATGGCCAAGAACGATCCCCTTACATTTATCGATCTTCTGTTTACCCATGGCTGACAAAATAGACAGGGTTCATAGATATTTTATGATGCAGGAGATTTCTTGTTATTAATACCCAGACACAGTGATATGTGAACTGAACCACAGGGCATGAATAGAATAAAATGCAGGCTCATGGCAGAGTGCAATTCATATTTTCTTAAAGGAATAAAATGACAAAGGAGGTCCCAAAACAGTCCAGTCCATACATCCTTTATTTAGAAGGATACATCACTACCTCAAATTCAACATCAATACCTTCAAATTGTGTTCTGCAAAATATGTTAAAGTTGTGTAATTTTGCATGATCAATCCTGTGATATTTTATTGCTAGCAGTTTTAATGACAAATGCTTAATGTTTGATATTTTGTTCAGAAATGTCATCTTTAAATCTTATTTGTCTGATGGCAAATAATTGTATTTCCGAAATTGTGCTGTGCTAGCTTGAGGGACTGTGAATAGATTTTATATTTGTCCTGGCATTGTTTCAATTAGGTAAAAATGATTATAGTAAGAATGCTTTCACCACAGTGTCAATGAATGACTATGATTCTCATTGGCTAAAAAGTGTGTGCTTGATTAATCTCTGTAAGATGTTTTGTGAAAAAATGGAATATCTTCAAATGTGTTTCGTGTGATAGCAACAATTCTTATAAAATTACAAATAGTTTAATCACTAACATTGTTCTTTGCTACCTTGAAGGACTCTGAATAGGTTGCTTATGAAATGGTTTAAAATAGCTTATAGTGAAGTATACCTTTATCACATTATCAATGGATGCCCTTGGTTTCCTTGATTCTGATTGGTTTAAAGTCTTTGCTTCATTCATCTTTGTTAGCCTGCTAGTTGTCACTTATGTTTCTAAATGGTAGATATGTAATTTTGTAGCAAAACCCTTCTCAATGCTAACTTAAGAGAGGAGCAGTAAATTAGATCAGAGCAGCCTCTGTTCATCATTCAGGCTTCCTTCATGTGATTAGCTGAGTATGCTTTGGCGCCCGCACTGCTGCTGTGCTCCAGATGTGGGACCTGAATGTGTCTCCCTTTCCTTTAGGGGAGCAGGCAGAGGATATCCGAGCCGGAGAGGCCACAGGGGGGCCGGGGCCCGCCGGGTCCCT